ACTAACCTAAACATAATACATGGTGCCTAATTTTCACTGTCACTTCACTAACACACTGTCATTGCATTGCAGTTATTTGTTTGTTAGAAAAACCTTTTTGAAATATGCAGACAGGGAAATGACAGACACATTACTACAGATACAAAGGCAGAATTACGTGTATAACATAGAGATGTCTGGTCCTGTCCTACAAAAAAAGGGGGCAAAATGTCTACAAAAAGGCCACAATGACAGCCTGCTTGTGCTCTGTAAATTTCTCCACTTTAAGCACAATGAGAAAAACATGAGGCCCAGGAGCGCACTCTTTGATACACCGCAATATCTCAGGCTTCAAATCCTCCTATCTGTGTCAAAGAAACTTGGAATTTGCTCCCTCCAAATATGGTGTTAGCCAGGCTGCTCTTTCCAACTCCAGTTTTTCCCAGTAGGATAATCCTCTTTGTGTCTGACAGAAGAAGAAAATAATAACCATCAGTTTCTCATAATTGTCACACCATGGTTATGGAAGTGTTTTGCCAAGTTCATTTATTGTGCTATAATAATTATTACACAGTGTGAAAAACGACTCATGACTCAACAGTCGTCAACAGTCACAAGTAGAGACTGCTTTGCTCCACTTTGGATGTTGTAGGATTTCATATGGGGAAGAAAAGCTATAAAAAGCCAATTGATGTTAAATATCAGTCGGTCCAAATATGTAGAAAAGAAAAATTAATGTTGAGTAATCTGCAATCACAGTTTCCTATTTTGAATGTGGTTAACATTTTTAAGGATTGTAAGAGACTACAGTATCTGACAGGTGGACAGTAGAAACATCTTAACTCTCTTAAATAATCAATCTGAGAATCAGCTCATGGATACTGTCACACTTGTAATAGAAACTTAAAAAAAATATACAGATGATGATACAAATGAAAAATTGATTGTAGTCGGTAGTCAAGTTAGAAATAATTAAAAGAGAAATAAAATGACCACATTGCGAGCCAGGTGTCAGAAGACCTTTTCATGGTGGAGTTTTGTCTCTGCGTGAGACAGAACAAGTTGAAAGGATTTTGTTATTTGTTTCTATTGGCAGCATCCATAACTGCTGAGAATTAAATGTACAAGGGCTTATTGTTTTAAGTGTGGCCTGTTGCCAGATATTTCTTTAATGTAAATGTAGGAATGTGTCTAAGTTTATTCTTATTATTCTTATATTCTTTAAGGATATCACAAAATAAAAAAATACTTTTTTTTAAGGAACCCCAGACATTTTGATTAAAATCAGTGTCCAAACACATGCATTAACATTGCAAGTGACTGTGTAATCTGATAAGTTAGAAATGATTTAAAAAGGAGAAATTAAAATGACCACATTGCAAGCCAGGTGTCAGAAGGAGAAGATATGACAATTCACAAATCCTGGTTGGATAAATCTTGATTCATTAGCTTTTAGGACATCTGTCAGAGGTTATTTTATCACAGTGAAATAATGTGAAAGAAATGTGAAAAAAACATTCCATTTAAAATATAAAATAACTCATAACTAATTAACTAACAATTTAATGCTAGTATTTGCTGCTCTTTGTTGAAACAACAGCTGAAATAAATAAGCTTAACTTACCGGCGTCCATGCTGTCAAAAGTAGAAATGTGTGGAAAAAAATTACTCAGATCAACGACACGTCTCTGACTGACCTCTTGCTTTGTTTTTTTTTACCTGTATGACTTGTTTTCTGGCTGCAGGCTCGTGGAATGATCAACTCACATTGCACTTGTTTTTATACAAGTACATCACCATGAGTAAAAAGAACTATGGCATATTTTAAAGCTTCTTCAGAGAAATATTGGTGCATTTGTTTTATGATGTCCTGTTCCTGCTCAGTGAATTTCTCCACTTTAAGCACAATGAGAATAACATGAGGCCCAGGAGTGCACTCTGTGATACACCTCACTATCTCAGGCTTCAGCTCCTCCTCAGATCTCTCTGTGTCAAAAAACCCAGGAGTGTCGATCCACATAATGCATCTTCCTTTGACGGATTTTGTTTCTGCTTTACATTTACTTGTACCAGATTTGGGTGAACTGTCAATCTTGAATACAGTCTCTCCAAATATGGTGTTGGTGAGGCTGCTCTTCCCAGCTCCAGTTTTCCCCAAGACCACAATCCTTCTTATTAATGCTAGAAGACAATAATGACTCTGTCAGTGATATGTTACTTTTTTTTCTGGAGTTGCAGGAACTGTAAAAAGCACCTCAAAAGTACTGAAACTTTGCAGACAATATCAGCGGGCTATCATACTGTCTAAAGCACCCCTCCACTCAAAAATACTACAGTCTTCACTGTGCACAATGATGACTGTAGAGTAAGCATATTCATTGCTTCTGGAACTTTTAAAGAGGTAGAAGAAGTATATGCCCTTTTAAGGCTTTTAATGTGGTAATTATACTGTTTTTTAAGGAAGAAACATATAAGACACATTGTTGTTCCCAGCAGACTAAGGGGATCTTTAAACTTCAATATTAGAATTTTATTGTAGTTTAATTTAATAAACTTACTTAAATTTAGCAATTAAAATGAGCCAATCATTCATCAAGTCAGTCACTGTAAATAATTTGGATAACTGTTGGTATTATTACTTTTAAGACGTTGTATTATATGTGTTGATCACAAGCAGTGGGGTAAAATATCTACATGAT